AAGCGCTTTATAGTTAGTGGGATTTACCGTTTTCTCCCAATCGGCAACAACGGAGATCTTTTCTTCCTAATGTCTTTCAAGGTATGCAGCATGCTTTTACTCACAGTACACTGCATATAGCTTTCATTTCTAATTTACTTTTGACAAAAGATATTTTCTCATAAAGTATTTGAGTGGAAAGTGTTGTTTAGTTTGGATGGCGTTTTTCATTCCGTAGTTTAGCTCAAAGTTCATGATAGTTTAGGAAACCATAGTTCTCGGTTGCGAATCTTTTGGCAACTAGAACTTCGATGTCATGCTACCACTGCTGTCGGCGACTAAGCATCTATCGCTTCAAGGTGAGGCTGATTCTATTTCAAAAAGATAGTCATTTTTTTTTCTTCTTCGTTCCATTAGGTTTTTTAGATGTTTCATCTTCAGGGACAACCTGACCCAGTGAGGTTTTTGCTGGTGTTGTACACTATTTGAAAAACCGGTTCCGCTAGTTGGCTGGATCGACGCGGATTCATAAGCCTTTCTTCGCACATCAACGTAGTAACATGTGGATTTCGAATTATCTCCATAGACGGCCAACAAGAACTGATAAACTCCATCTCACCGCAGGATTTCCGCTCATACTTGTTTGCAACATGTTGTTATTAAGCTTTACACTTTTGTGGCGTGTTTCTTACTTGAAGAATTACTTGCTACCTCAAAAGGGTTTGCATCACTAGTGGGCATTTTGTAAAATGAATGTCTTCAAATAAAGATTGTTTGAGTTATAGAAGAAAATGCAAATTCAACATACAAGATACTTTATTAACATCTATACAGCAAAAAAGTAACAATCTATTTGTAACAAAACTGAACCATTCAACTGTAAGACTGCTGATAACGTGCGCGAGCTCCCGGTCCTCCTAACTTCTTCGGTTCAGTGCGACGAGGATCAGCAACAACAAACCATTTAACGTATGCAAAAAATTGATTCTTCAAGTGCTGATCACTCTGCTGGTCAACATTGTTGGGATAATGTGCAACCTGAAACAGAATATAGCAGCGGTAGAGAGCACATGCATTTCACTAAAGGCGGAAATGATCAGTTGACAGCTACCTAAATCCACCGGAAAAACCTCACCACGGCTTCAGAGCTTGTTGTACTGCACAGATCTCTGCGACTACACCGGTCATACGAATTCCGTGTCCACTCTTGAATGGGTTCTGCACTTCTAACGAGAAAGGGGTTCCTGCAAAAAAGCTGACTTAGCAGTTTCTTCAGGCCTCGTAAAGAATATTCCCAAATGTATGAAATACATTAAATCAAAGTCGTGGGACAGCCATCACGACGAAGAAAAACAAAAGAACAAAATCAAAGAAACGCCAAGAACTAACCTGGAGCGTCATGCAGGGTATTCGAGAGTCAGATGCTTTAGCGGGTGGCCATTCACCTTTACAAGACCTCGCCATTTTTGCAAGAGCGATCCTTATCATTATACCCTATAATTTCTCAATAAGAGTAGCAATCACGCAAAAAAACCCAGCCTTTAGCAACAAAAAAAAACTGGGAAGAATGACCAGGTGTACCTTTTCAACCAACAACGGATATACTCATAGAGTGACCCTTCTCTTTGCAACCCAATTGTATAACAGTTATACATCCATGCAGTTTGGTTTTTTTTCATTACAATAATATTAACCTTTTGTAATTTACATACCTATCATCAACCGACATGTTTGCTGAATGGGTTTGAAAGGTCGTTGAATAAGTACATTCTCACCACCAGTGACTCGAATCGATCTGAATATGAGCTACTAATAAATTGTAACAATAGTCAGTAATATAATAACAATAGTAACCACAGCGAACAATAGTAAGTAGGCATATATGAACAAAATTCGCATTTTGCCCAAAATTATACAACCGTAATAAAGTTATTAAAATATGAGAACCTCCACAAAAATCGCAGAAAGTCAATCATGCGAGGATTAAAAAGAAAACACGAAAAAGAACAAACGAAGAGAGAGAAAGAGGAGGAAATTAGGCAGGAAGGCAGTAATCAGCTGAGTTTTTTGTCATCATTGATTGATGACCTGGATTTAGCATTGCTGGCCTGGTGCCAGCACTGGCACACAACTCGTCCAGTGAAGTCACACCCCCAGCCGTGGCTTGAAATCAACTGAAGAAGATGGGGGTTCCTATTTTGGGCCTATTTCGCGGTTTTCCATGCTTCCTTTTTCTACATTGAACCAACTACCACCCACTGCTTCGCATATGAACAGGGAAGTCATGAGTGTAATCCCGGATTTTGCCTTTAAGTAGTAGGTCTAGGAGAAAGTTAAGAGCAAGGAAAATAAAGCCGAAGAACTCACTACGTTAACCAGCAGCGTGTTCAAACCAGCCCATTGGAAATCAGTACTGAACACCAGATAATATCAGCCATTTCACCTATAACAATGTATACCAATCTTGTATAGAAAGAGCTAATTTCACGAGCAAATTACTATTGAAAGAAAAAAGGAGCAAGGAAAAATATAGAGCGGGGTTGAGCGCATTGATGAATCAGCTGTTTGAATACGCCCAACGACCCTACAAGCAACAATGTGGGCGGCCCTCATTTCATGCACACTCGCCTCGCAGCTGCGGCGAACCCCACAGCTGCGGACAAGTCGGCCCGTGCATCTCGTGCAGCTTGGCTTAGAAGACCCTAGCGCCTTTTTCGGGCGCTTTCGTTGCACGGGACTGTTACGTTCGTGATTGTCTGCTGGGGCACTACCTCACAGGACGAAGAGGACCGCTCACACGGATTCTGCCTGGGGTATCGCTTTAAATATGCCTCGTAATTTAGATGGTTTAGACAACCAGAAACGTTGT